CCCGCCATTGGCCCGCCGCTCCTGGCGCGCCCCGCCTCTCCCCGCCCCGCGCTGTCATTGGACCGTCTCTCCCGTAGCTCCCCGCCCCCCGCCGCCATTGGTCGGCATGCAAATATTGCGCGCGGTGGGGCGGCGGGGCCGGGCGGGGGTGCGGCCGCAGCGCCGCCTCGCGGACGGGCGGGGGAACGGCGCCGGGCAGGGCGCGGGCCCCGGTACTGCCGCGGTGGGGGGGGCGGTTAACGGGGGACAACGGGGGGTTTAACGGGGGTTAACGGAGGCTAACGGGGCTCTAACGGGGGTTAACTGCAGGTTCACGGGGATTAACGGGGGAGTTAACGGGGATCAACAGGGATTCACGCGGGGTTAATGGGGTCCGGCAGCCGTCGAGCCCCGGTTCCAGGGGCTCCCCGAAGCACTCCCGGTGCCCCACCTCCCGCGACGCCCGGGGCGGAGTTCCCGTGCCTCCGCCCCCGTGACGTCACTTCCAGCGGGCGGTGCCGGGCCCGGTGCCGCCGGTGCGGGCCGGGGGTGGAGGAGGCGGAGCGAGGTCCCGGTCCCGGTTCTGGTCACCGTCCCGGTTCCGATCCCAGTCCCAGCGCGCCATGGTGGTGCTGCGGGGCGGCGCGGGCCCCGAGGAGCCGTTCCCGTGAGTGCGGGCCCGGGGCCGGGCGGGCCGAGGGGCGGTCGGTGCGGGCAGGAGCCCCCCGGGCTGTCGGTGCGGGCGGGGAGCGGCGGCGCCTCCCGGGACAGCCCGTCCCCAGCTCCCCGGCCCCGGGGGCGGTGTCAGAGCGGAGCCCGGGACCGGCATAATGAGCCTTATAATTAGTGTTTATCCCCTCGAGGTCACGGTGCTCCGGTCACCGGGGCTGCCGGGGGTGGGCTGGAGCCCCCCGCTCCTACCGGCGCGTACCGGGGGCTCGGGGCGCTGCGGGACGGAGCTGTCCCTGCCAGCCCCGGCTGTCCCGCGGCGAGTTTGCCGCGTTCTGCTGCCGAAGGGGAAATGACAGGAATATCATTTACCCGAAATCCCCCGGCGGAGAACAGATTCCTCTTGCAGGCGCGCTCCCTGCCTGGGAATGGGACGTGGAGGAGAAGCCACGGATCTGTTCGTGCTCTGCTGCCCCGGGGGTTTGCTGTGGTCCCCCAGGAATGGCCTTTCCTGGGGTCCCATCTCAGCCTGGCACGGGACCCTGACTCAGACTCGTCCGACACCGGTCACTCCCTCTGGCCCGAGGTCACTGTGCCCTGTGAACCTCCAGGCTGGCACTGGGTGGAGGTGGCAGTGCCAGGGCAGACGTGGCAGTGCCGGTCACCAGGGCAGCCACAAACAGCTCTGGAGGCTTCAGGAGGAGAGTCGAGTGTGGCTCAGCCTGTTCCTCACCCAGCCACAGGGCTCGGGGGGTCCCGGGGGTGCTCCCACCCTGCTGACTCTGGGTTTTGACATCTCTTCTGGGGCCGTGCTGGCTCCAGGGAGTGCCGGGCTCGCAGCTGTGTACTCAAACCCCCGAGCTGAGGCCAGGGTAAGGTGACTCCCTCTGTTTATTCAGGTTTTTGTAACCGTCTTTGTATCACAACTTGATCCACCAGCCCTGGTTGCTCGCTCTGGCAGGTTGGGTTACTGCTCCCCACCCGTCCTCTGGGCATTGCCTTGATACCTGAGTCTCTTATTCTTTCCAAGCCCACCTTTGCCACGGTTTTCTCTCCAGCTTGGAAGGGGGTGGTTGTTTTTTTACCCCCCACCAGCAGCCAAGACTGTATCGCTCCCCCCATGCAGGCCAAGGGGAAAAAAAAAAAAATCAAGGTTTTGGTGATGGTGAGCAGCTGGCTGTTAGCCCGGGCTGCAATCAGACAGCACAACCTGCTCTGCCCTGTGCCCAGGTCAGCTCTGTCAGGACCTGATTGCAGGACTGGGGCTCCCGGAATGCTGGAAAGGAGGGGACACGGTGGGGACATGACCCTGTGGATGGAGCTGCGGTCACTCTGGGCAGCCGTGCTGCAGCTCCTCGTCCTGGGGGTTGTTTCAGGGGTGTTGATTTTCTCCCCCACCTTCTGCTGTGCTAAAGGAAACCCACACAACCCCGAGGGGAAGCTTCTTTGCAAGTGAAGGCAGGGAAACTTCCTGTCTCTGGTGTTTAGTAAACTTTGAAACCCAAGCAGTTGCGTTCAGCACCCAGCCAGCTTCTCGCTCGTGGTGTGGCTTCATTTTCCCCTAAAATGCCTCAGTTTTATGGTCATTCCTAAGCTGTGCCTGTGACTAAGCAACGCCCTGGCCATGTTGTGACCAGAGCACCCTTGGGTGCCCCCAGGAGCTGCAGTGCCAGGCTGGGCTGGTGTTCCTGCTGCCCTCCACAAGCAGCGGCAGGGTTGGTGCCAGCCCGCTCAGGATTAGGGTGCAGGGGCCCAGCAGGAACGGATCCATTGTTTTGCTTCCTGTGTGGCATGATTAATTGCCCAGGTTAATTACCCAGGTTAATTACCTGGCCCTTCCAGTGCTGACACACAGCTGCTTAGAGCAGAGCCGGCCCTTGGAGGTGACGGTGACCCGAGGGGCACAAGTCCTGTGGGAGGATGCGGTGCCACTTGCAGAAACAGCGGTGCTGATGCTCTGATGCCCCATCTCCCCCCATCCTCCCGCTGCTGTGGCTGCCCCAGGCCCCTCAGCTGGGCTCACCCCTCCTGCTGTGTCCCCCAGGAGGATCGAGGACTGCCTGCCCCTGCTGGAGGACTCCCCATCCAAGCGGTTCTCGCCGTCCAAGAGGAAGCAGTACTACATCAACAAAGCCATCCGCAACTCCGACCTCATCCCGAGGGCCAAGGGCCGCAAGAGCCTCCAGAGGCTGGAGAACAGTAAGGACCAGGCAGGGTCTCTTCCCCAGGGCAACCTCCCCTGAGCTGTGTGGCAAGCAGCGATGTTCTGGGGGCAAGGGGCCTCTCTGGAGGTGCTTCCCCCCCTCTCAGGATTTGCTTTTCGCCCCAGCTCGCTACCTGATGACACTTCTGGAGCAGGATGACTGCGGGAGCGACGAGGGAGAGCTCAGCCACTCGGCCACCCCCAGCATCTTCACCGAGGCCTGCAACAATGAGACCTATGTGGAGGTGGGCACAGCCACCCCACTGGCTTGGGGACACTGGCGTGCCATGTCATGCTTGTAGTTCACTCCTCCGTCCCTCTGCCTCCCTGGCCTGAGCTGCTGCACCGCAGCTTCTGCCTGGTCTGGTGTCAGGCTGGGATCTGTGGGATCTGATGCCATGGGTGCCAAGGGGGTGATGGGGTCCTGGGGCCCACGGGGTGGGGGAATTTCCAGGCAGATCCTGTGGTGGAGAGTTGTGGCTGCAGAGCAGCGGGTGCCTGGTGAGCTGCAGCACTTCCTCTGGCACAAGCCCCTTGCCCAACCCCTGTTGCCTCACGCTGGCCCTGTAACCAGGTGTTTTGAAACGTGCCCTCTCCTGGTGTGGCACTCAGGGCCATCCCTGGGGACAAGAGGGTGAGCAGGGGGCTGGTGGGGCGTGGGGAGGGGCCCTGGGTGGCCGTGCACCGCCAGCTGCTCCCCACAGAGCTCTGCAGTGGGGTTTGGTGGCTTCTGTTGTCAGATCTGGAACGACTTCATGAACCGCTCGGGAGAAGAGCAGGAGCGGGTCCTGCTCTACCTGGAGGAGGAGGCCAGGAAGAAGCACAGGAGGAAGCTGCCTGTCAAGAATGAAGACAAGTGGAAAGGTGCTGGGAGGGGACGCAGGGTGGGGACAGCCTCTCCCTTCCCTTCCTTGTGTACATTCTGGGAGGGCTGCACCCACTCCCTGTCAGTGGTGGGGCCAGGGGATGCTTGAGCCCACCCCTGGGTGTGGCACTGGGGGGTTATGGACCCCCACCGTGGACCAGGGAGGGTTTGTGGGAACCAGAAGTGGCTGGGATGATGGGCACAGCATCCCCTAATGTCACACCCCCAAACCCCTGCACCCCTGAACCTCCTGTGCTGCTGGGGAGGGCGTTGCTGTTTTAGGGGTGATGGTGAAGGGGAGGAGCACCGGGTCCTCCTGAAAGGTGACACTGTGCGTTCTGGAGTTGTGAGCTGTGTCCAAATCCCTTCTCCCTTCTGCAGAGCTCCCAGCCTACACCCCCCAGGAGTGCTTCCAGCGCATCAGCCGCCGCCTGCGCGCCACCCTGAAGCGGGGCCGGATCCCCATGGTGAGCTGGGAGCCTGCTGGGAGCAGGGCTGGGGCTGGCAGGGGTCCCTCCACGGCCACGTCCCCAGAGCTGTGGCCTGACCTCGTGCAGGGCAGTGCCAAATTTCAGGGGAGCTCCTGGCAACGTGCTCAGGTGCTCGTGTGACCCCGCAGCGGTGGCTGGCTGCAGACAGACACCCAGCTCCCAGCAGATGGGGTTTCCTGGCTCAGCTGAGATTTTTCTGGCAGTTACAGGGCTTTTTTTTAGTGGTTGTTTCCCAGTCTCTGTGCAGTGACAGCAGGTGACAGGTGAAACTGGGTGTGTTTGTGCATGGGGACAACAGTGGAGCCTTTGGGGTCTTCACAGTGGCCCACACAAGGCTGTTTGGGGCAACTTTATTGTATTTTGAAAGGGGTAAAAGTGCACCAACTGCTGAGCAGGAAGGAGGGAGGTGAGTGCAGCCCTGCACTGCCTGCCCAGACACTTGCTCTACCAGCCCTGGGGGTGCTGGCTCCCTGCTCCCTCTGCTCTGTGGGGCTCTGTTTGTTTTTTCCTGGTGCTAATTAGAGCCTCTCAATGCAGCCTGGGCTCCTCCTGCCCCCTGCCTTGTTTGTCTTCAAGTGAGACGCGTGTGCTGCTCGTCTCTGGGGTCACAGAGCTCTGCAGAGCAGCAGAGCACTGAGCTTTGGCTGGTGGGAGGCACGAGGCTCCCCTGGCTGCTGTGAACACGAGGGATGGTGCCAGCCCTTGGCACACACAGTGTGGAGTTGGCAGGAGCTGGATCCTTCCCTGCCTCAGGGGCTGGAGATGGGACATGTCTCCTCTCCCTGCTGGCTCCCATCCGATTAACTTGCCCAGGAGCTGCTGGCAGTAATTCCTGGGGAGTCAGTTGTGCCAGGGCTGTGCCCACCACTGTCCCTGCCTCGCTGAGCCCCTGCCTCTCCTGACAGGGGACGCTGGAGGGGCTGGAGGAGGAGCTGCTGGCCTTCTTCTCCGTCACCCCCCACTCTGTCTACACTGCACTGATGGATAACAGGTATTTCCCCATCTCAGGGCTCTGGGTTCCCTGTACCCCAGGCTGCAAAGGAGCTTTGGGAGCACAGGACACTCCTTGGCGTCCCCTCAGCCGGGCCTGGGTCTCCACCTGGGGACCCCCACCTGGCCTGGTCCCCGTGGAGCCCCTGGGGGAGGGTGGCACGTGGGGATCCCTGAGCACTTTGTGCTCCCCATCTGCTCTGTGTGTCCCCGGGAGGGTGGAGGGCAGGGCAGGCTGTGGGACACACTGGTCAGGCTCTAACCCCGTCCCCTCTCCCCAGCTTTGAGCGGCTCCTGCTCCACGCGCTCTGCCAGTACATGGATCTCGCCTCTGCCAGTAAGAGCCATGTGTCCGCTTGGTTTTAGTTTTGATTTTGATTTTGTTTTTGTTTTTCCCCTTCCCTCCATCACTATCTGTCCTCTCCAGCTCAGCCTTTTCCTCCTCCCGGCCCCACCTCGCCCTGGGGCTCAGAGATAACCCCGCGGTCCCACCCTCCTTCTGCTTCCCCACCAATGCCCGCAGCTCCCTGGGCAGCCCCGGCCGTGGTCACCAGCTCTGGCTGCAGCTGCACGCCCAGGGCTCAGCTCTGAGGGGAAATTTGGGTGGTCCAAAGCAAGAATCTGCTCGCAGGGTTCCCTCTCCAGCAGCTGCTTCCTCCTCCCAAGGATCAGCCGTGCTCTCCTACTGCCCTGGGCGTCCCCAAAGGTTTTGTTGCCAAGGCAGGGATGGAATCAGGCTCCATCCCTCCAGAGGAGGCTCTGCTGCCGAGCTTTCATTAGCAGGCTTGTGGCAATCAGCCTGAGCGCTAATGACGGGGAGCGAGCCCGTGGTGCCAGCTGGGGACAGAGGGGACAGAAAACAGCGGAGCCTGCGCTCACCACGAGCCCCAGGGAGGAGGGGAGGGCTGGGAGCACCATGTTGGAGACCCCCGAGGCTGGAACAGCGTTGTGCTGACCTCTCCATCCCACCCACAGGTTCGGACATCGAAGGGAAGCGTCAGATGAAAGTGAGCAACAAACACCGCGTGTTCCTGCCCCCGGAGCTGCTGCTCTCAGACTACCTGGGGCAGATGAGCTGATGCCCCCACGGCTGCCCTGCCCCTCCTGTGTCCGCTGCGGCCTCTCCCGGACCTTCCTCGGCCTTTCCCCTGCTCCAGCAGCCGCTCCAGGCCGGGGGTTTGTGGCCGTGCCGTCGGGCGTGCGGGGAGCAGGGCGGGCAGCCTGCCTGGCACGGCTGCGGGTGCCCAGCAGGTGCCTCTCGCCCGCCCCGCTCCCCGCACGGGCCCTCCTGGAACTATTTGTGTGTCTATTTATAACCCAGGTGTTTTTAAAAATAATCAGGCGGGGCCAGCCTCCCTGCGGCGCTGACGCTCGTGGGGTGATTTCGGTCCAGATTTTTCTGCGGTGAAACAGCTCCCGGCGGCTGCTGAGCAATCGCTGAGCCGGCGGAAGAGCCCGGGGGCTGCCGCGTTCCCGCAGCCCCGTGCCCACCGGGCGTGCAGGGGGCTCGGGCAGGGCGAGGTGTGCGGGGAGCTCCGGGTACTTTTTACCCCACGCCCTGTGCCCTGCCCGCACCACGGGGCTGTTTTTAAGTGTAATATAGCTTGTGTTTTTTTATCACGTGTGTGTATATTTACGTGTGTGTGTGTGTGTGTGTGTGCTGGAGGGGTGCAGCCCCCTTTGGGGCTCGCTCTGCTTTTCCACAGCTGCCGTGGCGGCAGACGAGGCATTTTGGGGGTCCCTCTGTGCGCCCCCCCCGTGTCGCTGGCATGTGCCAAGGGTTGCTCGCAGGGCGTGCCCTGGTTGCTCTGTCCCACGATGACACCGACTGCCCTTAACCGTGGGCACCCCCAGACCCAGGGGAGCCCCTCGCGCCTCCTTCGCCGGTGTCGCTCGGGCACATTCAGGAACAATAAAAACGGTGCTCCCCTGCTCCGGCTCTGTCTCTGTGTGGGGATGGGGAGGAGGTTGAGTGGGGGTCTCGGGGCAGCCGGTTGGGCGCGGGGTGGAAAATGTGGGTGTGGGGAGGTGCGAAAAATATGGAACGCTTCACGAATTTGCGTGTCATCCTTGCGCAGGGGCCATGCTAATCTTCTCTGTATCGTTCCAATTTTAGTATATGTGCTGCCGAAGCGAGCACGAACTCGGTACAACCCGCAGCGCTATTTAAAGCCTTAGGAATGCAATATATTCACAACAGGGTGACCCCAGAGTGGTTCGGTACTGAACGCAGAATGAGTTTCTTCAAGTGTTTCTCAGTCTTTTTCTCCCTAGTTTTCCTCGGATTTTCCCTAAAATGTCCAAAATCTGGCGATTATACTTCCCATTCTTCCCGGTGCGTTCTGGGTAGTTTGTTATGCTAATTAACCACTGCGTGGCTCTCTCTGGGGGTGTCCGCGGCAGTGCCTGAGCGCGCGGCGCAGGCGCGGCACGGGCAGCCCGCGGAGGGGCCGGGGTCCTGGGAGCGGCGGGAGGCGGCGGCGCCGGTGAGTGCGGCCGGGCCGGGACCCGGAACCGCCGGTGCCAGCCGGGCCCCTCTGTGACCTTCCCGCCAGCCCCGGCCCCCTCTGTGACCTTCCCGCCAGCCCCGAGAACCTCCGACGCCTCCCCGAGTCCCTCCCCAGGACGCTCCCGCCCGCCGTAGGGTCGGTACCCGCGGGCCGCTCCCTCCGCCTCCCCCCGGGACCGCCGCGGTCTCTCCCGGTGCGGGGCTGTTCCCAGCCGTGTCCTGTGCGCCCCGCTATGGCCCCTGGGGCTGGGGTCCGTGCGGGCCGTTCCCGGTGTGACCGGCCTTGTGTTGCCCCCGCGCAGGACCGAGGCTGTCCGGTCTCCGGTGTCCCGTCCGGGCCGGGCCGGCGGGATGGACCTGGCCTACGTGTGCGAGTGGGAGAAGAAGCCCAAGAGCAACCACTGTCCCTCCATCCCGCTGGTGTGCGCCTGGTCCTGCCGCAACCTCATCGCCTTCACCACCGACCTCCGCAATGAGGAGGAGAAAGGTACCGCGAGCCCCCGGGAATCCCTCCCGGTGCCCCGGGAAAGGCCAGGATCCCCTGGGCCGGAGCTCTGCCCTGCCCCTGGCAGCTCCCGGCTGCTGCTGCTCCTTTTCCTTCCGTGCCTCAGCCTCTGGAGTGTCCCACACGCGTTTGTTCCCTGGGAGTGCCTTTGTTTCCCTAAAGCAGGAGCAGGCTCACCTCGGTGTCTGGCCCCTCACTGCGTTCCCAGCACTACCCCAAATCATTTCCATCAAATATTTGATGTTCTCCCTGCTGCGTCTCCGAGGCTCTGAGGCTCAGAAGCAGTGACAAGGGACAGGAGTCGCTCCTCTGTTCACACAGATCTCACCCACATGGTTCACATCATCGACACCGAGCACCCCTGGGACGTCTACTCCGTGAACTCGGGCCACACTGAGGTCATCTCGTGCTTGGAGTGGGATCAGTCAGGTGGGCTGGTCTCCCTGTCATTGTCACCGTGTCCCACCCCTGCTGTGCGTGTCCCAGAGTGTCCCAGGCTGTGACTCCCTGGGGGGTTTTGTCTGTTCCCCCCCTGTTCTCATGCAGTGTCGTTGTCACAGGCTCCAGGCTGCTCTCGGCAGATGCTGATGGCCACATCAAGTGCTGGAGCATGACAGATCACCTGGCCAACAGCTGGGAGAACACGGTGGGCAGCGTGGTGGAGGGGGACCCCGTGGTGGCCCTGTCCTGGCTGCACAACGGTGTCAAGCTGGCTCTGCACGTGGAGAAGGTTTGTCTCAGCTTCCTGAGGGGTCTGGGCTGGAGCTCTGGCTCAGGTGTTGGCAGAGAGCTCAGGATCCTGCCTGTGTTCTCTTGTGGCCTTGGGGAGTTTTTCCAGTCAAAGAGAAGTCAGATTCCTGGTTCCTGCTGAATTATCAGGAGGGTTGGAGCCTTTTGGTGTTTCAGATGTGTCTCCCTCAGTCTGGATCCTGAGTTTTAGGCAGGAACATGGCGACAGAGCAGTTCTTTCCTCAGCAGTGGTGATTCAGAGGAAATGCATTCGGGGTGCCAAGGTTTGATCCGAGGATTTGGTCACAGAGATGAGCTCCTGGTTTGGAAACCTCTGTGATCCTGCAGGCTCTGAAAGCCCAAAGCTGCCAAGCACAACTTCCCTGCTGGTGTTTTTTTACCTCCTGTGATGTCCCACATAAATCCTGCCCCTCTCTCACCAGAAGAGCTCCACGGGCGCAAATTTTGGCTGCCAACACTTAACTTCTGCTCACCTTTCTTACAGTCTGGAGCCTCCAACTTCGGTGAGAAGTTTTCCCGGGTGAAATTCTCTCCGTCGCTGACTCTGTTTGGTGGGAAGCCCATGGAGGGCTGGATTGCTGTGACCATCAGCGGGCTGGTCACCGTGTCCCTCCTCAAGCCCAACGGGCAGGTGCTGACGGCCACCGAGAGCCTGTGCCGCCTGCGCTGCCGCGTGGCCTTGGCCGACGTCGCCTTCACGGGCGGGGGCAACATCGTGGTGGCCACGTCCGACGGCAGCAGCACGTCCCCCGTGCAGTTCTACAAGGTGTGTGTCAGCGTGGTGAACGAGAAGTGCAAGATTGACACCGAGATCCTGCCCTCGCTCTTCATGCGCTGCACCACCGACCCCGCGCGCAAGGACAAGTACCCGGCCATCACCCACCTGAAGTTCCTGGCTCGGGACATGTCAGAGCAGGTGGGCAGCTGCTCTTTGCTCCACCTGGCCTTCCTCAGAGGGCTGGAGGTGGCCAGCATGTCCTGCAGTACTCTTGGCATTCCTAGCTGCCCTTCTGGTGCAGCTGGAATTAGGGACTTCACCTCGCACTGGTTTGATCCTCTGCTTTTTGCTGGTGGAGCATGACCTGAGTGGGAGCAGGATCCTGGAAATGGAGGGTGGGAATGACCAGGGCAGTGTCCTCCCTGTTGTGATGCTTGTGGTGGGGGGTTCTGTTCCACAGGTGCTGCTTTGTGCTTCCAACCAAAACAACAGCATCGTGGAGTGCTGGTCCCTGAGGAAGGAGGGCCTGCCTGTCAACAACATCTTCCAGCAAATCTCTCCTGTGGGTAAGTGTCTGCTCTGGGCACTCTCAAGAACAGTAGCTTGGTCTGAGGGAAAAAGCAGCTCAGTTTCCACATCTATTATCCCATATATGGGATTACTCATGTTTATTTTCAGGTGTCCTCAGTCCATTCTGTCTGCTTGCATCATAGGCAGCAACTTGCTGTTTCCAGGAAGGGGTTGTTGCTTTCGCTTCATAAAAGATTTTAAAAGAATTTTTTGTGTTTTGCTGCAGAGCCGCCCTTCCTGCCACCAGTGGAGCAAAAGCTCCCAAAGGACCAGCACTGAGCAGCAGAGCTGGGTTAATCCCCTGCTCTGGCTGCCTGGGCTTCACCTGATCTCAGATAAAACAGAATTAATCAGGGCAGTTTGTGTGGTGAAATATAAAGGATTATTGTATATAAGGATCTTAATCACCCGCAGCAGAGCTTCCCATCAAGAGAGATTTAGCAAAACATGTTGTTTGTGTAACTCAGGAAAAAAATTGGGAGCTATGAGGGAAACATACTGGAAATATATGGGAAATATACCAGTGCCTGGGCAGAAATGAGGGGCAGATTTTTTGATCTCTGTGGGACAAAATTCCCACTCATTTTCTCCTTTTCCCCAGTGGGAGACAAGCAGCCCATGATCCTGAAGTGGCGGATCCTGTCTGCCACCAACGACCTGGACCGGGTGTCGGCCGTGGCGCTGCCAAAGCTGCCAATCTCCCTGACCAACACCGACCTGAAGGTGGCAAACGACACCAAGTTCTTCCCTGGACTGGGTAAGGAGTTGTCTTCACCCTAAACGTGTGACTTTTGCTTGGAATTTCACCACCTGAGCTGCAGCTGAAGTAAAGCACGTGGAAAGCTGAGGGAAAACTTTCACCCTTGTGGGAAGAGGCTGTGAAATGCTGTGAGCCCCCAGCCCTTTGGCTTCTCCATGGGCTTCAGTGGTGGCCACTGCTTTGGGCGAGGGCTCTGCCACGCTGGGAGGAGCTGTTTGCTCAGCCTCACTTGTCTCCTGTCCCCAGGCCTGGCCTTGGCTTTCCACGATGGCAGTGTCCACATCGTGCACCGGCTGTCCCTGCAGATGATGGCCGTGTTCTACGGCTCCTCCTCGCAGCGCCCCGTGGACGAGCCAGCCCTCAAACGCCCACGCACCACGGGGCCCCTGGTGCACTTCAAGGCCATGCAGCTCTCCTGGACATCACTGGCCCTGGCTGGTGTGGACAGTCACGGGAAGGTTGGTGCTCTCTTCTGGATGTAGGGATGTGCCGCCTGTGGACGGAGTGACAAAGTTATCCTTTGTCTCCTAGAAAAGGAAAAAAGCCCAGAAGTTTCTCTCCTCATAGGACCTTGGGGACTTCACCTCAAACTTAAGGATAGCCAATTGGACAGAAGCCAAAAGGTCCAGCCTAAGCAATTTACTAGAAAAAGAAGAGAACAAAGAAACTAATGGCTTTTGTGAGGTGTTTTACCAGACTCTTGCCCTGGCTCTGTTTTTCTCTGTAAAGAGCTCTGTTTTTTTGCCTTTTATTAAAACTTTTCTGTTTCCAGCACTGCCACAGAAGCCATCCTGCTGATTTTGTGCCTGAGCTATCCCAGCTGTGGTATAAATCTCCAAGAGCTTATAAGACCTGGCTCGAGGTGACCCTGTATCATATGGTGGGCTTGTTTCTCAGCCAGGCTCTCTCAGGGGTGATGGGTTGCTCAGGAAACACTGGGAATTCCAGCTGTGAGCTCCATATTGGAAAGGGATGTATCCCATCAGTGCAGAAACTGTCTCTAGGTCAGGATTGAGCTTCATGGGGCCCCATGTTGTGTTGTAACTTTGTGGGACGATTTCAAGCCCACTCCTGAAGTTTCCCTTTGGTTCCTCCCTTCCAGCTGAGCATGCTCCGCATCTCCCCCTCCATGGGCCACGTGCTGGACATGAACATGTCCCTGAGGCACTTGCTGTTCCTGTTGGAGTACTGCATGGTGACTGGCTACGACTGGTGGGACATCCTGCTCCACGTCCAGCCCAGCATGGTGCAGAACCTGGTGGAGAAGCTGCACGAGGAGTACATGCGTCAGAACGCGGCCCTGCAGCAGGTGGGTGGGTGGGTGGGAGCTCTGGGCTCACTCCCAGGGTGGGCATGGAGGGGCTCAGGGACTTGGAGTGAGGAACAGCCAGTGCCAGTCCTCAGGACATGGGTGGCTCTGCCTGGCTGTGCTCTGTGAGTGCCCTGCTCGGGCAGTGATGGAGCTGGGAAGGGCTTCCATGTCAGCAGCATTCACTTTCCCTGATATTAGCAGGGTCTTAGCTGCTGGAAACTTGGGGTGAGATGGTGAAATCTATTTTTGGCAGATTCTGGGAGCAGCAGCACGTGCCCAGCACAGCGCTCACGTGCATGGCATTCACTGCTCTTGTCACTCCTGCAGCAGAAAGGGAGAGCAGAGAATAAAGAATAAAGCAGCAGCAGCAGCTCTAATGAGCTTATGCTAATTCCTGCCTTTTTTTGTGCCTTTTGCTGCGTTTCCCTGTGGCTCAGGTGCTCTCCACACGCATTGTTGCCATGAAGGCATCCCTGTGCAAGCTCTCCTCCAGCACCATTGCCCGTGTGTGTGACTACCACGCCAAGCTCTTCCTCATCGCCATCAGCTGCACCCTGAAGTCGCTGCTGCGCCCACA